GCACTGGGCAGTCAGGCCCTGGCAGTGGCAAAGGCTTCTTTGTAAAACAGCTCCTGGTGTTCAGCCTCAAGGGAAGGTTTCAAGGACCAGTTGTTTTGGGGGAGAAAACACTGAAGATGTTGTATTTGATTGTCCCAGGGTTGTGTCTGTGGCACAGGTTTTGAGAAGGCCAGAAGAAGCCTGTGGCCAGGGCACTAGTGCAGGAGGGGAGTTGTGGAGAAGACATTTTGAAAAGAAATAGTAACTGACATACATTGTCTGATTTCCAGGGATAAAAACTGGGAAATGTGTGATGTTCAATGCTTCCCATTCCACCTGTGAGATCTATGGCTGGTGTCCTGTGGAGAACAGCACCCTGCCCAGGTGAGGCACAGGATGAGGAGACAGCAGGCTTTCAGAGCTTAGATTCCTTCCCTCTGTCCTCTGTGCAACCAGAGGCCTGGTCTTACTTGCCAGAGGGGCAGGGAGATCTTTGACATTGACCTACTGATCAGTTAAGCCCAGAAAACACCATGAAGAGCATTTCTTGCAACTGTTGATTGTAGCCAAAGTCCCGGGGTCATGAAAGAGACTGCAGAGCAAGGGGAGTGGGGATGTGCCTTTGCTGTGGTACAAAATTTGAGTTAATTGATGGCTGTTTTCCAGGAAACCTCTTCTGGCTGAGGCAGAGAATTTCACTCTTTTTATAAAAAATACTGTCCACTTCACCAAATTTAACTTCTCCAAGTAAGTATGATGGTCCTTCAGCTGGACTGTGCGGGCAGCCACGTCAGCCCCCGCGCTGATGGGCAGTTATGGTTCAGGATGGTGTGCTCAGGGGAACGCAAGTAGCTCCAGTGGCACCTGGTGTGCAGGTGTAAGAGCAGTGAGATGGGAGTCCTCAGGGAGGGACTGGTGGCAGAGCCTGCCTGTCTAGATCACCACAGACAGAGCTGGACAAGGCCAGTCATTCCCAAGGTCTCATTTTACCCTGTATATAGATTTTTGCAGGTTAGTCCCTGCAAAGTGGTTGGATAGAGGCCCAATGAAGGGCTGCACGGGTCTCACAGCCCCATGTGTGCTGGCTGTGCTGCCTCACTCCAGCATGGAGAAGACATGGCCTGGGGCAGCTGGGTCAGTGCCTCTCTCAGTGGTTAGAGCTGGATGCAGGGGAAGAAAGGAGAATCATCAAACCCTTGTGGTTAGAAAAGATCTTTAAGATCATTGAGTCCAACCATTAACCAAGCACTGCCAAGACCACCATTAAACCATGTACCTCAGCACCATGTCAACACAGCTTACAAATCCCTCCAAGGGTGGAGTCTCCACCAGTTCCCTGGGCAGCCTGTGCCAGGGCCTGACAACCCTTTCCATGAAGAAATGATTCCGATTCTCCAATTTAAGCCTCCCCAGAACGATGTAAGGCGATTTCCTCTTGTTGTGTCACTTGTTACTTTATGAAGTCACTTGAGAGGCACAAACGTTACTTTAGAGAGGTGGAGGAGAGGAGCTGGGAGGGGAAGGACCATGCCAGGTGACGTAAAGGATGGTAATTCCACGTGTGAATTCTCTGAGCTGCTTTCCCTCCATCCTCTTTCCAACTGAGGCTTTAGGTGAGGCAGTAACTATCTCATGCTGAAGCAGGAGCATTGGTGGTCCCACACCATGGGGAGGGTTTCCTTCAGTCCTGCAGCAACGTTCCCTGACCTCCCAACCTCACTCTATCCCTGACAGCTCTGTCCACTCTGCTGTCTCAGGTGCAATACGTTGCAAACCAATGACCCCATCTATTTCAAGACCTGCACGTATGATCCAATCTTCCACCCTTCCTGCCCTGTCTTCCGTGTCCGTGACATGGTGGAGGCGGCTGGAGAGACCTTTGGAGACCTTGCTCTGCTGGTACTTTTTTTTTTTTTTTTTTTTTAAAAGTATGGAGGAGAACTGAGTTCCCCAAGGATGTGGGCAGGGGGTGAGGGGCGGGACTCACACCTGAAATGCTAAGGGAATGTGTGATCTGTAAGTGTCTGAACAGCAAAGAACTTGGCAGGTCTCTGATCCTCTGCTTCTCCTGCCATAAAATGTGTTTTGCAGGGGGGCAGCATCGGAGTTCGCATCAGGTGGGACTGTGACCTGGATTGCTCTGCTGCTCAGTGCCTGCCTCAGTACTCCTTCAGCCTGCAGAATAGGAAGTACAATTTCAGGTGAGGGTGCTGGGACAGTGACCACAGGGGCCTGTGGGCTGAGCACATGGCAATGGCTAGAGATCTCAGTGTTCCTTGTCGACGGTCTTAATGGAGCAGCAGGGACAGCGGGATGTGGTCACCCAGCATGGGTCCTCTCAGGACTGGGTTGCCCTGGTAGTTCCTGCACCTTGTAGCTCTGCCCTGTGTGGAGCTGTGCAAGACATCGCCTGCCTGAGGGCAGGGTCCTGTGGCTGACCACCCTGTGCTGACCCTGAACTGGAGGCACTGGGAGCTGCGCACTCCTCGTCCCTGCAGTCTGGGTGCTGAGCAGACACCGATGCTCCCCCTGCCAGTGCCAAGTCCTTGCATCATGTGCATCACCTGTGTCACAACCTGCTGGAGGACACTGCACAGGCACGTGGTAGCCTCAGTAATTATACAGCACTGGCAACTATCTGCCCTCACTGCCTGCACAGACCTGCCATAGCTTTCTGAGCTATGTCCAATGTCTCCTGCAGAACTGCCTCCTACTACTGGGACTCCCAGCGGCAGCTCTACAGGAACCTGCTGAAGCTCTACGGCATTCGCTTTGACATCTCCGTGCACGGCCAGGTACCGTCTCCTCTGCAGACCCCACGTGCAAAGTTCTGGCTGCCTCGTCACTGGGGCTGGCTCCTCACACTGCTCCCTGCTGCTCTCTTCAGCAGCCAGCCCCACACCTTCCTGCTGGTGTTGCTTCTCCCCACACTGGTGAGCTCTTCACCTCTTTCCAAAGTTTTCCAAGCAGAGCAGAAAAAAATGGTCTCACCCTTTTGAAGAGGAAGTTCTTGGTAATGCACTGAGAGGGGAGGCTTCCCTCAGTGAGGATCTGACATGGGTGATGTCAAGTGCTGGGCCCTGTAGGCAAGGTGAGCTTGTCTGAGTGGATGGTCTTTGGGCATCTCTAAGGGGCTCGTGCTGGGAGAACCCTGGCAAAAATCAACTTGAACTTTTCTAAACCTGGACAATTAATCCCTTCTTGATTAATTGTACCCTTGGGGAGAAAAAACATGGGCATGATCATGGCTGATGCTACTCCGTGCAGCATCACTGACAAACTCAGTACTGAACTGTGGAAGGTGGAGCCTGTGCTGAAAGTGTTTGTCATCACATGAGATGTCCACAGCTGGTCTGTTATGCTTAGCAGGGGCCCTTTTCCCTGAAGGAAGCAAAGCACTCAGTTCAGGACAGGGTGTGCCACTTCTGGGCAGGGAGATCAGCTCCAGAGGTGTGGAGCAGGAGACTATAGCCAGGAGAAAGGAACCTGAAACTCTCTTTCCTCGGAGATACCAGACTCCTTTGAGCAGAGAGGGACACATCACATCAGGACTGTGTTTGCTGGTTGCTTGGATGTAGTGCTGTGGGTGGCAGCTGCTGGGATCCCACAGCGAGAGGGAGGCTCCGTGCCACACCTGCAGGAGCAGGGCAGTCACAGTAACCTCTGATGCCATTGAGTCATGAGCTTCCTTGGTCCCTTCTTTGACAGATGAAGGGGTTTGAGTCAAGGCAATAGCAGTCAGGTTCCTCCAGCTGGGCACAGAGGAATGACCACAGTTTCCTCCAGCACCTTTCTGGCTTTAAGCATGCTGCCCAACGGGGCTTGTCCCACAGCCCTTTGACCACTCTTCACCCACTGTCCTCCCCCTCCACTCACTGTTTCTCACCAGGCTGGGAAGTTCAGCATAATTCCTACTGCTGTGAGCTTTGGCACCGGCATCGCCTTCTTTGGTGCTGTGAGTACTCCAGATACACTCTTTTCCTCCAATCAATGGGTTGAGATTTACCACTCCCCTGCCATCTCCCCTCCTTGCCTGTGCAGAAGGCATCCTGGGCACCTGCCACACAGGGGGGAGAAGGTCTGGCTGGGAGTTAGCTCCTGTTTTCCTCTTTGTGGTTGTTGGCAGTAATGACTTCTGGATCAAGGATCCTGGGCACTGTTGGGCACATCTCATGGATGCCAGGGTTTGTGTTGGCCCTGGGAAGGTGCACTGCTGGGGCACTGCTGGCTGGGCTGTTCCAGCAGGAGAGAGCAGCTCTGCTCTGTTCCTCCCCTAACTCTGAAAGGAGCTGCGTCCAGCTCTAGCATGGACACGGCAGTGTGCTCATCGAGGTGGGGCAGCACCTTGTAGAGCTCTTCCATGGCTCTACCCCTTCAACAGAGTAACAGGAACCCTGGGATCCCCCACCAGCTCCCTCTTTCCTCCCAGATGTGCTCATCCCAGCCCTTTATGTGGCTATGATGGTAGCTGGACCAGCCCCTTGCCCTGTAGCTGTGCATTTCAGTCCAGATGACCGCATCTAAACTCCTGTGCAGCTCATGGGAGCAGGTTGGGTCAAAGAGGACCTGGTGAAACTGTCTGGATGGCCCGGGCTGGAGGCAAGTCAGGCTTGCTGACCCCTGGCCAGGTGTTGGAGTTGGTCCCACAGCAGCAGGGCTGGGTGGAAGCCAGGGCAGGGGTCTGGTGCTCCTGCAAGAAGCTTCACTGCTGACTGCCCATGGCCTTTGTCTGTCTCCAGGCCACGGTGATCTGTGACCTGGTTCTACTCTACCTGGACACAAAGGCTGACTTGTATTGGAAGGAGAAGTTTGAGGAGGTAAGGATGGGGCCACTTTGGAGAGCTGAGGAGTGGAGTTTTGCGAGCAGATGTAATTATTTTCCACCCCTTAATTAAGACTGAATTAACAATATCTGGGAAAACCCCAGGGGAGCAGTTCTTAGTCTTCAGCTCTTGGGATTGGTGGCTGGTTTGAATTGAGCCTGGCAGAGATGAAACTCTACAAGTTCTGTGCCAAGAGGTGGCAAGGGTAAGAGAGGGAGCTGGCTGGTGCCTGGAGTGCAGGGAAAGCTTTACCTCTTGGACAAGGAGTCCCTGAGGGGACCCTACTGCAGAAACCTGACCCAGCTCCATATTTATTCACACTCTTCCAAACTGAATGTGACCAAACTCCACATGGGGAGAGGGCAGCTCTCCAGAGCACCCTGGCACTGGGTCAGTGCTGACACTGCAGTTCAGTGACAGGTTTTCTTGCCATGCAATATCCCACTTTGGTACTGGTCAGACCTGCTCAACTGGTGGATGGCAGGGAGACCCCAGAAGAGCAGGAGAGCTGCCAGCCCCAGCTTGGGTCATCTTTATCTGGCCCAGTCCTCTGAGAGCAGACATCCTCCAGCTCCTGGTGAACTGCTCAAAGGGCTGCATTGATCTGCTGAGGGAAAAAGGTTGTTCCTAATACCTGATCTCAAATCATGAGTGAGGGTCTCAACCAATGAATCTGGTTACATGGGACTGAGCAGAGCAGAGCAGGACCACCTGCCTGGGCCATCATCTTGTCTCTGATGTACTAAGATGCCCCTGTTAATTTCACAGGCAAAACCCCCTGAAGGTAAGACAGAGGCTGCAGCTTAGGGACATTGGGAATGCTCCACCACAAGCATCCTTCACTCTGGAGCAACCTCCAGGTAGGTGGGATGGGGGCATGGCTGGGGAGATGGCTGTGGTCCAGGTGGAAGTGGCACAGTTCTGGCCTGAGTGTGTGCTGTTTGGGCTAGGGGTCTGCCCTTCCTGGAGGAACACTGGCATCAGCGGAAATTGGCTCCTGGAGCACAAAGCCACCCCACGTACAGCTCCCACCCACCAGCCAGTGATGGACCAGAGCTGTGCTGTGGAGCTCCTTTGGGAACTGGAGCTTACTGGAAAGCGGCTGGACCACGCTTAGCATCAGAGGCTTAAAGCACTTTGCGCTTATGGCTGTGGGCCTTGATTTCCTGTGAAAAACTGGGATGCAACAAAATAAAGCTGTCCAGAAAGAGGGAGGTGGCTCTGTGCTGTCTCTGGCCCTGGGAGTGGCCGTGAAGGTTTCCTGGTGCCACTCTTGCACCTTGCAACACCCTGCACACTTCCAGCTGGGATGGCTTCACAGGAGCCCCCCCAGATCGTTGGGCTCTCTCCAGGGATCAGCAGGGCTGGGTCGTGTGTGTCCCTGTCCCTGCTCTTATTTCAGCTCTGCTGAGGGAGGGTTTATGAACCGAGCTGGAGGCAGCAGCCCCAGGCTGGTACTTGCAGGGGGTACAGTGGCTCCTGTGCCCCTGGTTCCTGCCTCCTGCCAGGGCTGATGCTCAGTCAGGACAAGTGCAGCCCTAGGGTGAGCCTGAGCATTTTGGAGGTGCTGAACCCTGTGCTTCCACCTTCCAGGGCTGTCAGCCTGGTGCAGGGCCTGGACCAACCAGATCCATGCCTGTGGAGTGCTCTGAGAACCCCACAAGCCACCTGGCTCCCAAACAGTGTGTGGAGGCACAGCAAGGGGCCCAGGCCCTGGTTAATGCTCTGGCGTTTAATGGGACTGACTGTGGGCTGGAGGGGTCCTGCAGCATCACCCCTCATCAGCTGCCTGCCCCTCTCTGTCCCCCTGCCTCGGCTGGCCCCTGTCACCTCCCTGGATCTGCCGCAGGCAGAACTGTGCTGCCAGCTGCTTGGTCATGGTCTTCAGAGCAAGGAAGGCAGCTGCAATCTCGGCAAGAAGGAAGGCCAGGAGAAGGCTGTTCATGATCATCTCCAGGGGCAGGCAAATGATGTTGTGGTCTGTCAGCAGTAAGAGCAGGAGTGGGAGCTGGATCAGGAAGGAGAGGAGGAGGAACCCAGCCAGCTCGGGCACCTGTGGGAAGAAGAGGCTAGCAGGGAGCTGGGTGGGCCCTCTCTGCCCAGGTGCTTCCTGCCTCAGGCATTCTGCTGGCTTCGGCACCTGGGTACCGGGGATGTCCTGGCCATGTGGAGCTGTGCCTGGATGTGGCTGGATGCTGCCAAGTGCTGGAGCATCACACCTGCAGCACAGGGAGGAGAAGGTTTGGGTTCCCTTCACCCCCTGCCTGCAGGTGCTGCCTGCACCTGCAATTCTTTCCCAGGTCACCTCCAGGCAGGACTCCAGAAGGAACATGTGGTGACGGGCCCTCAGGTTCTGGGTGAGGAGACATCCAGGATCGCCACAGCTCTGGCAGCAGAGCCACACTGAGCACAGGGGGCTGGAGGCCAGGGTGGAGGCAGAGTGCTTACCTTCTCCTGCAGGTTTCCCACATAGCCCAGGTAGAGACGGGAGCCCTCAGCCAGTGAGAGGATGAGGAAGGCCGTGACCAGCAGGAACTGGTAGTGCTGGGGCAGCAGGTGGTACTGTAATGGTAGCATGGCCTTGTGCCAGCCAGCCTCATGCCCTATGCCCAGTTTCCCATCCCCTGTCCACCATCCCTTGTACTCCATGCCCAGCTTCCTGTGCCCACCTCCTTGTCCCCTTTGCCCTGGCCACTATGCCCTTGCCCAGCTCCCTGTGCCCAGTTCCCCAAGCTATGTGTCCTGTGCCCAGCTCCCCATGCCCTCCTCCCCATGGTCTGCCAGCTCTCACCTGTGCTGGTGCCCAGTCCTGCTCACTCTGCCCTCCCAGCTTAACCTTCCCTGCCTAGAAAGTTTGGTGTTTTTTCTCACAGTTTTTATTTCTGGGAGCAGGAGAGGAGGTGTTTTGCTCATGTCTGGGAGGGGGGCACACATTAACTCTGAAGAGGGTCTCCCCCCTTCCCCAACTCAGCATGGCCCTTGCACACCCAGGAGCAGGGTCACCCCCCACCGCATGCCCCACAGGACAGTACCTTCAGCTGCAGCATCATCCCCTGGGCCAGACACCAGACTGGGAAGTAGTAGGCATTAAAGTACAGCATCATCTGGAGGGGCAGGCTGGCCAGCACTTCGTGGGCTAGGTAGAGCAGGCAGGGTGGGCAGGGCTACCCAGCACCCCCAGGGCAAGCCCGAGCCTCACAGATGGCAGAAGGGCAAGCAAAGGTCCCAGC